ACGCTACAAAAATCCTAATGTAGCAAAGTGCTCTGGCTGATAAGTTTTTAAAGGCAAGTTAGACTTAACAGGGTGAAATTTGTCCCTCCATAATTAGTAGATCTCTATTTACTGAGTAATTTTATTGCTTTTATCATTATTCCTTCAAAGTACTTGCGCTAAAGTGGACTTATGACGCTTATAAAAAAGTTTGTCTTTCAAGTGTAATAAAGTTGACATGTTTTTAAACAAGGCCATGAGTAATGATATCTTAAATAATTTCACAGGTTAGTGCTTTTTAGTAGTTTTCCTACACATACATGCTTGTAATCAGGTTGATGCTGTGTTTTTTAAATTCCCACACTAACTTAGGCTGAATATGGTTCAGTATTTAGACATATTATAAATAATAAATGAATTTTCTAGTGGTTTAAGCCAATTTTTGTTCCTTTTTAATGAATGAGGATGTTCAAACATTGTTTTATTTTTAAACAAATACCCACCTTTCTATAAGTGAAGGGAACAATAAACTGTACCCATAGAGTAGTGAGGGAGTCCTTTTTCCACTGGATGCAGTCAAAGAAGGTTTGGTGGAATGTTTCAGTTATCCCAGTCTAAACAAACTGAAGAAAAGGTAGTTGGACCAACAACGGTTTTTTCTTTGAAATGTTGAGGCACCTTCAAAAAGTGTTTCCAGGTAGTGGACTAGGGAATGATCCACAACTTTTAACGGTTCCTTCGATGATAATTGTTTATTGCTCAATGTTTTTAGGTTTGACGACAACCATTACTTACTAGTTTAATATTTCCTATTTCGCTTTTTTTCACCTGATGATTTGAACTATGAAATCGTTGTGAAGTTATTGTGAAATAGCGCCTCTTTTTAGAGGAGAAATAATTTTGGTTATGACTGTGCCATTAGAAGGCTTGAAGCCAAGGCTGTTCTCGTTTGTATCTTGAAATATTTCTCTTAAGTACAATGCAATGTACTCATTCTACTAGTATTTTGCGTCCCCATATGACAGATTTCTAACCAAACGGTAGCCTTTTAGTTTAGCAAAACTCCATTACGACTTTTAAAACCAGCTCAAATAGGCCTAAATTGGCATTCACCATCCGAAAAAAGCCTTTTTTTAAAAAGTCGAAACCTCAAGATTTGGTACATTAAGGCTACTCCTAATTATAACCTACTGATGTGATAAAATAACCTAAATTATTTTAATCTTTCCTTTGTAACAATATCTGAACTCTTGATTCAGATGCAACCTTGAAATGAGGAGCATATTTTAGTACGACAAAGTATAGCTACAACAAAATCAAGTCCATTGAAGATATGGCTGAGTCTTATCCGCGTAAAAATGGTTGTGACTTCATTATATGTCTGTCGAGTAAGAAATGATGGTTATAGCCCTGCTTCACTCTAAATTGAAGAGGTAATCCGGAAACCCCTTGAATGGCTCCCTTCAAGCCACGGGCCGATGTTATGTTTATATCAACAATGGCAATATTTGACGCTACATTGCTCCGACTCTCCCTCCCGCTTTTTTATCATTCTTTCCACTCGGGATGGCTCTAATCAGCACAACATAAATTAATTGCAATGCTGCGTATCATCTGTTCATTCCTCGTCCACCAATGAATCCACTCTGCAAATAAGTGATTAGGAACCACATGTTGAAAAGAGGAAAAGGAAACTAAAATGAATTCGGATTCTCTCAAACTTTGAAAAGATCAAGCCTTTGTCCTGAGATAATTGGAAGACTTTGAGGTGAAATACTGGATACGCTGAAGTAACTGGTCCCTAAATAACTTCTAATAAAGTACACTAAATGTGAATAGTTCAGTCTGTCATATGAAGACCTCGATCTGGCCATGGTCAAACAAAGCCTCGAACGGGGAACTTTTGTTCAAAAATTCTGATTGAAGCGTCACAGTGGCACAATGCCTCCTTTCTGAAGAAGTTTCAAATGATTTATTGCCTTCAACCACATTTTTTAGAAGAAAGTATGGAAACAATCAAATTTAGTCGATTTTTGGTGGCTGAATCAAATATTTATTTTAGACGAAAGATAGGATTTACTGGATTGATTTGGTAATAAATAAAGTATAAATAAATAAATAAATAAAGAATTGTAATCTATAATTGGACAAAAATATTGTCATTTGGCAGAAGTCAAAAAAGCTAAGCTGTGGCAAAACTCCAGTGAATGATCTATCTGGAACAGCATTAATACAAATAAGTGTTCCAATCTTGAACATAGAGTTCAAATACCCATTTTATAATTAAAATGAGTTTTTGATCAAACTTAGTCATTAATCCCCCTTTTTAAGCCATAATCGTCGTTGCACAATTCATACACACATTTGACTTAGCAAAGGAATGAAAATTCATTAATTTTCTAGTGAATGTCCAGAACACAAGGCAAGGAAGTGGCTAGTTTGAGTGACAATTTGACAAATCACCCAAATTAATTAGCGCAATTTGATTTAACAACGCCAGATATTGTCAGAACGGGAGATTTCAGTAAATTGCAGGAGTCCATTAAAAATGGCATCAAAAATATAAACAAGCGTAGAAGTGAAAGCGCGATTAGTCGGGAGGTAATTTTAATAAACTTAATTTGATCTGACGTTTGAGGATCTGGTAGAACGCTTGTATTGGATTTTGTCAGCTTCTTCATAAAACAAATTGCTTCATGGAACACCGGAGCACATTTGTTAAATGTGGACAATAAGTATTGCTGATTGGTAGGATGCAGGTTTAGGAGGGTAAAAATTAGTGCAAACGGAAATAATGAATTTTTTTGGGACTCTACGTCTTAACTTTTAAAGAAAGAGTACTTACCGAAACAGTTTGCAATATCAAATTTGTGAAATATGAATCAAGCACATTTAGACGTACAAAATTACAATGAGACCTAGCAATTTACGGAAGCACCTACAAGTTTTTGAGGTTATCAGGGCAATTGCAGGTGGTATTTGCGCATGTTTATAACTCTTTCCGGATCGATGGGCTAGAATTATTATATCCGTTTTACTTTTGTCAAAGTTTTCCTGGTTAAAACTACTATACCGCAGCCCGCTTGCTTCGCTAGCCAATTTAGAAGGTCCGCTTAAGCTAAGATGAATTTATAACTTGGAGGGGTGGTTATAGAATTACAAAAATACATCTACCTTTCAGATGAACTGCATATTTATTCTTTTAATTAGTAGGAAATAGAAAGAAAATATAGTGACTAACATTTGGGTGTCCTAATTACTGTGAATCAAATGAATCTCATATTATACAAGCTAAAATATTTAACATGCTTCTAATCCTTAAATGACACTTTTAATTTCTGATGACTACTAAGTGCCTGCTATTAGCTCAGTACGGAAAAACCCACTTGTGCTGAGTGGTGAGGACAAACTACCGTTGTTTAGAACGCATCTGCTACTTACTGTTAAGGATAAATTTAATCCATTGTTGATGAAAGCGGCCAGCAAATGGATTTATCTCTAAACTACAAACTGATTTAAAGACTAAACGGATTGAATTTATAAAGCTGTGCTCGATTTTACCCAAATTTAATAACTGCATTAGTAAAATTACTAAATCATTGGCATGAATTATTTGGGCTGAAAAGTTATTCACGCTGTAACGACGACAATAGGAAGTGAGAAATTCTTCATAATGGTATCCTATAGGCTGCTGATAAGTAGAAGATGGCCATGAAAAATTTGGACCTCTGCGTTAACATGTAATAAATTGGGATTTAATAGCAAGAAGTTGCTGACTGACTGTTTGTTTAAATCTTTGGTTTGGGAAATCTTTGCTTAGGGGCCCCGCTTTTGTATTCTTGCCGGGCAGCCTGGTCTCCGGACCGTGCCAATAGCCCGTATTCCTTCTGTACGTCAACATTACATATTCTGCCCGTGTATAGTGTCTTCCTTTGTCTTCAAGAAAGTCTGGGAGCACTACAGTAGATTTAATAGGCCAAGAGTTAACTGCGGTGTGAAGTTAGAATTACCGAAAGTGCAGTATCTATGGCAAATTCAAACCAAAACCTCTAGCATTAATTGCTGTGACGATTATTCACATGTCTAATCCCCAAATGCCGTTATTGGCTGTGCAAAATATCCCGTAAATTTCGAAGCTATTTTCGGAGAATTTATTTCTTTGGCTTGTTGTTCGATAATTAAACTGGTCTGTAGGTTTACTCCTTATTCAGTGCCCCCGATCGGTCATATTAAAGAAGAAACTTATAAATCTGCCTCATTCGTAAAAAATATAATTTCCTAATTTAAATTAATACTTTCCTATTGCAAACAAACATCCGAGTGATAAGTTATTCAGAGGAGCACTTTGTATTTTTGTCACTTTAGTATTCTAAGGTAGTCGATTTAGCATTCCCTTAGTCTTCTCCGAAGGCGAATGAAGACATAATAATCGGGCAGAATATAGAGAAGGGCTGGGAGCTACTGGCGTAGCCCGAAGGCCAGCCACTCCGGCTGAGGAACAGCGTCGGTGCTCCTAAGTGGTCCTTTACCGAAACCGAGGGTTAAGTAAACAATTAATATATTACAGTAGATCTTGAATAATTTGGGTGGACTTGCTGAGGGAAATTGGGTAATATGTTTTTACTATTCAAAATTCTATCCCCTTTAAAAAACATTTCATCAAGAGAAATAATAACAAGCTTTTGTATAAGGATGAATTTCGTAATAATTGCTTTGTATCTACCACATCCCGAATGACCTTTCTGGAACTGATGATGCAGCAATAAAAACCAAAGAAACTCAGCTTTCTTTTAGACAAAATGTAAGGGAAGTAGACTAAAGTCGGATTAGACTTTGAAGGAAAACTCTTGGCTAGGCAATTACTGTGAATATTTACTCACAACTCCATCTGATTGTCACGAATGATTGACTCAATGAATTATGTCCATTCCGCCTCGTAACGCGAATGAAAATTTGTCTCCGCAATTTCTTTAGTATCCATTGCGTCTTTTTTTATAGAAATAGAGATAAACATATGAAATATGAATGCTTCAAGTGAATTGGACCCTTTTAAGGAAGATCACCTTCTATATGAAATAACTCAGAGGGGATGTGAAGACAGGTACCTGGAGAATGATCCCTACAGTCAGATATTCAAGATTTACAACATCCTTGTCCTTGCCCTTGCTCCACTTAATGTTCTACTGAATGGCCTTTCTCTGCGGATATTTGAGCACCGCCTGTGGAAAAACAATTCTTTGAGTGCAATTCTCAAGAGTCTTTCCGTCTTTGAGATCTGTTTCGGGTGCAGTCTTTTCTTTCATACCATCACAAGCAAAACCCTTGACCTCTACGTCAACAAGGAGGGCCAACTTGCGGACAATCTTACCGATTATCAGAGCCAACACCATGTTAGGCTGGTGGCCGCTCTGATCGTGATACATCAAGGGCTCAGTGGATTCCTCTTTGCCTTTCAGCTTAGCAGAAACTGGTCTGTGGTCCTTCTAGCTGCATATAGATACGACGCTATATGCCGCAAGCTGGGCACCGTATCCTCATTCCCTAGAGAGCGAATTCCCTTAATTATGATAATCACTCTGATTTCAGCAGGTCTTTTTGCTCTTCCACGCATGTTCGAGATAAAGTCCTATATCTGTGCACCTACCGCAATTATATATCAAGAAGAACCGTTGCTCGCACGAAGTATATTCTACCAACTGATTTATCTTGGAATTGGTACATTTATTGTCCAGTCTGGAGGACCTGTGCTTTGTGTGTGTGTACTAAGCTCTTTTGTTATCCGCAAAATAGCAATCCGGCGTCGATTTCGTCGGCAGAACCAGCGTACAGTGCTGGTCACTTCTAGCAAAGATGATCCCGGTTCAGGTGTGGAGCCTCTCGCGGCCACGAAAACCGTTGAAAGGAACCAGCCCTCTGGTGATAAACTGATGCTCGCTCTGTGCTTCACTTTTTTTATCCTCGAGACGCCAGCATTTTTCAGCAAAATTCTCAGTTCCTACACCTCCAAGTATCATCCCACTGTCGATGTGTATATGTCTGTGATCGCAAACCTCCTTATATACCTTGATTCAACTTTCAATGCTTTCGTCTACATGGGATCCAACCCCACATTTAGACAAGTCGCAAAATCAATGTTTGGACGGGATGAGAAAAGTAAACTGTCTAAGCCGGGCAAGAGTAGAAGTAAGTTATTCATGCAGTAATGGATTTTATTCTGGAAAATTCTCAAATTCCGGCAAACACACTACGGTGTCTGGGTCATTGGGTTGTAGTTACTCCGTTTTTAACGAAAACCCGTGGTTTCGAAGAGCTGGTATTCGTAAATAAAACGAAAAATTTAGGGTTTTGGTAGAATAAATAGTTTACCAATTTGAAAGACCCTGCCTTTGCAATTATGTTTCCCTGAGGAAATGCTCCTTAAAATGCGCATTATATTTATTTCAGTTTCTGACTCCTGAAGTGAAGTGATGCATTGAAACACGACCAAGCAAGCATTTGAAAGCCACCACATCAGCACTGAAGGACCCATCAAACCGGAATCCCTTTCCTCGCCCCCTCACCACCCTTTTCTCTCTAACTGATCCCAGTCGACAAGACATCCAGTTTTTTGTATTGGAGCTTATAGATTGCCAAAATGGAATGCCGAAAGATTTTCTAAAAACTTTTTTCAAAAAACTCAAGTTTTTCAAACTTTTTCGATGAGTACATAACAGTGATTAGTAAAATTTTCTAAAATGAAAAGGAAAAGATTAAGAAACTGAATAGTTCAAGTAGTCACACAAAGATTTTTACAATTAAAGGATAGAAACATTTTTCCAAAATTGTAAATCGTTTAGAGTGCTCCAAATAACCACTTCTGTTTTAGGCGGTTAAAACTCCCTGACGGACTGTGCGAATGGAAGCAGATGTTCAAATGTTATAAATTAAACATTAAAGTCATCCGATAACTTTATTACTACTTGATATGACTAAATCTGCCAGTTTAAAAAAGAGTCCTGTTATTTAGACCGAATTTTTGCTGCCTGAAATAGTGCAGTCATCTTGATGTAAGGTGACACTGAAACATTGTCAGATGCCTTTGGAGTGGTGATTGAAGTCGCATGCCAGACTAGGCATTGTATGCAAAATGTCTATTCAAGCTATCTCAAGAGGGGCTTTATTTATTTCCGCTTCTAGTGACTCAAATTGTCCATAAAGTATTCCCTGTTCCTCCTATGGAAATGCAAAGTGTCAAGGCAGTCGATCTATCAGAAGATAGCCACATAGATAAGAAGTCAGCACACTTATCACTTCCTCACCACCGGGTTCCTATTCCTATTCACATTGTGCTTTATCAGATCCTCTGTTACTCTTCACCTAGATGGTGTATTATGTAGCTCATATATCAACAACCGGTTTTCATCCAATCATCAATCAATCAATAAATGAACAAATAAATCTTAAAATGAATTTTTCCAATGGCTTGTGCATATTTCTATTGGTGGACCGATTCGCACCGATAGCCGTAAGCGGTCAATCAGAGGACACTTTTAATTAAATCCTTCGCATCAAACTCAAAGCAGTCTACTCATATATTTTATACTTTTACTTTGGCAGGCACAAAGCATAAAATCATTATAATTGTTTGTTCCTCAGGTGGTAACTCTCTATAAAGACGGCAAAATTCCGATTTTCTTTCTTAAAAATTATAAGGGACATTTTTTGGAGGTGAGCTATTTAAAGTCTTCCTACTCATGTTTTGGTAAAATCCCCTTAAGGGCTTTGACAAGTCTCATATGGGTAGCTATTTGATTAAAATGCGGTATGCAGAGGTGAAAGTGGCTCTGATGCTATTAAAGGTTAATAAAAGACTAATCTCGAGAGGATCTGCTGGTCAAAACAGATACTTCACATGCTCGACAGTGGAATCAACATTCATATAAGTAAGCTTCCGAAGGACTTAAATGGAAGGTTAGTCCATAACAAAAATTATCTGGTGATATAATTTTTTTAGTGTATTTTAGAGAAAATCTTCTGTTAAGTTGCAGCAGAACAAATTTGGACAGACTGAAACTTAATTTAGGTCAGAGAAATTCATCTCAAACCACTCATCATCCAGCTACCAGCATTTGAAGTTGCTCAACTAAATAGTCAATAGACTCTCGACCAACAGGGGCAAAAACTTAGTTCATTTGAGCTATTAAAACCGCCCACTTTTGAGACTCTCCCGTTCAACAGTCATGTCTAATTTCGAGATTTGTTACACACCGGACTACATAACGAGCATAGTGTGCTCTTTGACGTCTGCATTTTGTGTCTCCTTTTCAACGGTGTGATCTTCCGACAGCATCTACCACATCACACGTGTGCACACTGCCAGTACACCTTCCTCCTCACCGATATTATGCACTAATACTTGAGAAAACATTCAGGACGCTGAATTGCCAGTTAAGTAGGCTCAAATGACGACGTAATAAACAGTATCTTGGGAAGAAAATCCCCACTACGGTCATGAGTCCAATCGTTTCTTGCAACCAATTTCAGCTTAAAAACGACTTTGCTTTGAAATGCTACTGCTGCTGGTGGGGATGTGGAATGGACGCAAATTCCAATCACCTCACAATTATTAATTTGGATTGATGTTATCTGCTAAAGTATTTTCCTCATATTAATTCCATTCACTCATCGGCATATCATAACGGTCAGTTAATAGTAGCGCACTACAATTACTTGGACAGACTCTTCTTAACCTTAACTCTGTTTATATGAGTGTATCTAGACATCGTTTGAGCATTTGTTTAACTCTTCCTTTGGACTAAAGGGCCACATAAGGCTCCGCTCTGGTGCTTCTGCTGGACGGCATTGTCTCTAGGCCATGCTAGTAGCCTACAATTCTTCTCTGCGTCGGCAATATAAATATTCTGTCCTAGTATTATATACTCTATCGTCTTTAGAAAAGTCTCGATGAGCTGCATTGGTGACAGTGGAAAGCAATCCCCATTTTGTAGAACACTTATCCTGAGGGACAGAAGAAGAGCATGTGCTGCGCATGGGAGAATCTGCAATGCCCAAAACACTTCATTTATTAAAGGCAAAAGACTTCGGTCTATTTAGCCTGTTTGAAGTGCCCAATTTTAGAACTTTAAAGTCTCACAGTCTTGTCTGTGTCTGAGATATCAAGGCTAAGATCAGATAAACAGCTGGCTGGAGTAGAAAATGTTACCAATTTTCTTGAGATTTTACTAAACTTATGCTCGCTAAGTTTCAGCGAAACTAGTCCCTTATTAACTTTTGACCAGGTCCTATCAAAACTTAAGTGTTTTTTAATTTATCAAATGAACCAAACTACTCAACAACTGACACTTCTATGCTAAGGTTATTTATGGAGAAAATAATGGAAAAGAAAGGCGGTAAGAGTAACTACATGTTTAGCTTCGAGGATGTTATTTCAGGTTTCCAGATTGCTGATAAGGCCAATCCACCACATAGAGGTTACCTGCCTTAGGTGCTTTGCCTGAATTAGTCCGATTTGTAAGAGCGTAACATTTGTCTGATCAATTAACTACCTATGGCGTCTTCAAGCACCTCCACTTGACCTAGGTTTTATTTTTATGGCTGCTGGTTCAGAGAACGTTCAGTGCCAATGTTTGCGTCAACTAGTTCAGGTGGGGGGGGGGGGGTAGGGGGAGGGAAAAACTATCACTTTTAAAGAGGAACATTAAGCCAACAGAACCACCTTTTACTCCTCTTGTATATGCACAGCTGTTATTTGTTTACATTTCGAGTGCATTAATGCAATCACTAACGGGTTGCCCGTAAAATAGGTACAAACTCATATAAATAAGTTAAAAAACAAGCATGAAGGCAGGTTTATTATGGTAGGGGAGAGACTACTAGGCTGCCACTGTTTCCATACAGACGCAGAGTGGAATTTAACTTTAGTATCCTCCTTTTGTGCTCACTTTGTTACTGTCATCTTTATTTTCATAAACCGGAATACGTGGTCCTCTCTACGCAAAGTCAAGGAGTTTTTTACAATTCAAGACATTAAAGAAAAATGCAGTAATTTTAACATTAATCTTACCCTGCCTTTTTCTCGTAAAAAAGTACAAAATTGATATGCCTGCACAAATTATAAAAAAACTGAGTTAAATTCAAAAATAGGCAAAGCTGTCTTTCCCATTTACAGTAGACTGGCAGTCATCAAACATTG